TTCCTCCACTCGGGGGGTCATCTAGCAAGTTTCTATCTGTATGATCTTTTCGAGAGACTGTCTTGTCTACGTCAACCTGGACTTCCAAGATACGCTGACCACAGAGCAAATAATTTAGAGCTTGTGATTTTTTTGAGTTATGAAATCCCCCAACGCCCTCCTAAGACATGGTAAATCCCTCCAACAAGCCAGAGGGGGAAACCCACCGATGAACGGTTTAAGCTTTCGCGAAAGGGCACCTTCCAGGCGCTCGGTGGTGCCCGAGAGCTTCATGCGGTCCACGGCCACCGCATCGTTGAGCTTGGAGACCTCGGAGGATGGACCGCGGGAGTCGGGTGCCGAACCTGACGGTCTGAGGTCGAACGTTGGTCAAAGCGGTTGGTCTGTGGACATCCAAGGCACATCCATAGCAGCACTGGAAATGCGCTCCTCTTCCAGTGCAAGCTGAACCAAGCCATCAGGTGCATCATGGATTTCAGGATTTCACACATGGTCTGAATCATGCATGGCATCGAGCTGGCCTATTGATCTCAAACACACTTTACAGTTTACAGGTCTCATGAAACATTGTGTCGCTGTCTCACTCGAAAATCTGAACCAACATGAGCCAACCCCTTTTCACCCGGATCTGCGAGCTCGCCCCGCCACCCAAAGGCAGGTCACCATGTTGAGCCCTGGCTCCTGCAAATGGCCGGTGGTCTTCAACATGGTATCTTCCACCTTGGGCACCACCTGAAGGACCGTGTCCAAGTCTTGAGCCATGAGTTCTGCCTGGCCGACCGGTCCCGCAAGTCGGGAAGACGAAGACGAAAGCGAAAGCGAAGACATCCCGGAGATCACGACGTTGTCTGTATTGTTCCAGTCAAACATACTTATATATAGACTTATATACATCATTATACATCTACATATTATACATAGTATCATAGTATGATATAAATATGGTAACATAAACATAACAAGATCCTACTGTCTTACATTGTCTTACAAAAATCATCAGCAACCCATTTCCACAGGCCTCTCATCCTGCCCTTAGAACAGCTGATCCTGTGCATCTAGGTGCCGTGCCCGCTTCTCGAGGTCTGCAAAGCTAGTTTGGTGCCGCCTGGGTGAAACACCCCAAAGAGAATACGCGGGCCGCAAACAGCTGCGGACAGCAAGCAGTAGCTCTGACGAACAGTTGGCCCCAATGAACCCGGTCACAAACTTGGGAACCAATGAACGCCGTGCATGTCAACGATGGAGACGTGGCGGTGTCCGGGCCGGGTGGCTGCAGGTCCAGCTGCATCTGCTGGATCTGCTGGCTAGACTGGCTGGCCTTCTCTTGCTGCAATTGCAAGTCCTGCAGATCGTCCAAATCACAACGCTTCTTGCAGACCAAGGGATGATTTGTGCCAACAAAGGGCACCCGTGTGATTGCTTCAAAAACAAGAGGCGGTAGCATTGTTGGCAACAATTCTCGAGCAAGTCCGGTATTCCGGATGCAACAATCCAAAATAAAGCCATGGGCCATCTCCTGAAATCGACTTGTCAACGATGCGATCTCCTGCAATCAATCAACAACTAAAGAACATCCTTCTGCTGAATACATAATGTGTGTAGAGACTGTGCGAGTCAGTGGAGAGAATACCTTCCCAACAATGTATGGCCTTCTGGTTGCAACTGCCAGTTCCATGTTCGGGTACACTATACACCACACATCTGAACATCGCCTCTTTCATGGTATCCTTCATCGTCTGTGAGTGCTTGGCCAGCCTGGACAGGTCTTCAACTCGACAACACTTCCCTAGGGGTTACCTGGTAGGCCGGCATTCCGCCCAAGGGAGGAGGGTGCTACTGCTGTGTGTGGTCTGACATGATCAGGAACACTGTTTCCCCGAACGAAGAACATGAAGTGACCTGAAGATTGATGAATGCTCCCAAGGTCTTCTGAAGATAGATTTAAACTATAATGGTCTATATCTCTATACATATATATACACACCTCAAAAGGCAACCTCCAGACTTCATTCATGTCATATGTTTTTATGGAGGCCAACGGTGGAAAGGATGGCGCAGGTGATTCCATCCATCTGTGCAATCCACATAATCCACTCGGCAGCCGAGGAGCTCTTGTTGGATTTGCAAGGTAAATTGATGTTGCAACTGCTGCTGCAGCTGTTGTGTGACTTGCTGTGGTAGTTGGATTTGCTGAGTTTGTAGCTGTTGACTTTGCTGCGTCATTTGTTGGGAGACTTGCTGGCTCTGTTGAAGTTGCTGCTGGATCTGCGTGGACATCTGGTGCAACTGAGCCGCTTGCTGCTGCATCTTGTGAGATTGCTGCTGGCATTGCTGCGTCTGTTGGGTCAGTTGCTGTGAGTGCTGCTGGATCTGCTGCGCATGTTGCTGCAGCTGTTGAGAGTGCTGTTGCAGTTGCTGCCTCGACAGCGCCGGACATCGGTTCATCGGTCGGCGCAAAGCATCGGTCGCTAACACGACCGAGTTCGGTTTCTCTCCTCTACTATATCGACTACTATCAAAACTTGAAATCACCAATGTCCGTGCTGTCCGTGCTGCGCCAATAGCCAACAGGCTGAAATAAAAATAATGACAACACCGAGTCACGACTGCTGATGCACTTGCTGTCCCTGCTGCTGCTGCCGGAGCCTTGCAAGGATTCTGGTGGAAACGATGTTCTTTGTTGGTTTCTGTTGAGCAAAACCGTGTGGGTTTTCGGCAAATCTGATGGTAATTAGCATGTTTTGTGCCAGGCAGCTGCTGATCATGGCAGTCTCGAACCAGCGCTTTCTCGAATCCTGTCTGGCGCTCATCCAGCCTGGCGCTCATGGTCGGGGCCAAAGACATGGAGGCATGCAGCATGGCAATGAACACCCGTTCCAGCATGGCTCCTCTTTGGATTGGAACGTACGCAAAAATGAAACAAGTGCGGAAAAGAATGATGAAACACAATTCAATGAAACGCGAATCAATCAAAGCAAACTGAGCAAACATGGACGTTTTGGATCACAGCATCACGTCGCATTCTTAGAACGTGAAATTCTCACGACGCGGAGCATCGTCGCCTCCAGAGTTCACCCCGTACGGTTCCACTCAGGAAATCAATCTCTTCCAGAATGGTGTCCGTCAACGTGTTGAACGCCTGCCAGGTGCCCGGGGCCCCCGGGCCCTTGGCAATTGGAAGCCACCGGAATCGAAGATCTCTAGATTTGTCATGAGTCATGTCTCTCTGTGCTTTTAGGATTCCAGCATTGCTACAGTGACAGGGAAGATTCGAAAATGCAACAACATCAAACACAGCTTTTCAATTGGGCTTTTGTGAAAATTGACAACTTGAGATAGCCGTTTACTTTGACAAATTGACAAAAAAATAATCAACAAATATATTATATATGGTCTTCAACCACACCCCTGACCTCTTTGAGAGTTCGGACTTGCCCTTGAAGAAACTCGAAGGACCTGCGCCTGGCACTTGATTGATTGGATCTTCATCTTTCAGCCAAGCGGAGGCTTGGAATCGAGCTGCACACGATGCGGCTATGAAAAGAAACCATGGCTGAAAAAAACCGTGATCAATCGCCACTTTTTGGAGATGTACTTGGCTGGTTCTAGAAGCTACATAGGAAGCGTCCGAGGTATCCATTGTCATGCCCCCCCTTTTGTATGGTTTGCTCGCAAATCTGGCTGGCCCAACGAGGATTGCTCGAACTCGATATTGGTCACACTCTCCAGGGCCAATTCGTCGTGCAACTGGTTGACACGGCTGGTCATCCTGCAGCTTCTTTTCCAACTACAGGCCGCCACAGGCATGTTTGGGATCTCAATGAGAGTAGATGGTCAAGGGACGTTAGCTGCTCCAAGCGGCTGGTCAGGAGCAAAGACCGACAGGTTGGTACATTCCCTCTCGGCCCTATCATGTAAATCCACTGTTCATGCAGCCAAAGAACTGGAACGAACAGCTGCTGAAGAATTGGTGGGTGATGGACCCATTGGCTTCAAAGTAATCCGGTGTTTCTTCAAACAACTGCAAAAGTAAAGGTCTCAATTGCTTTCACGTGCTTGATATATGTTATGTATATTGTTGACAAACAAACGTAATCTGCACTCCTGGTCCCGCCCATCCTGACATTCTACAGAACACGGATTTGCAGTTGTCCATCCGCAGGCAGTACTGCATCATTATTCCAATTATATTAGTTTGCATCTTAGTAATCAAACCATACCTGGAAAAGCATGTTCAATCTGTTCTCATTTTGGAAATACAGTTACAGTTATAAAGGCTATCCGCTATCCGCCATATTGTTATCGCTTTCAACCCTGGGGCCACATTTGCCTTCCAAACCTCTCCGTCACTCAGGACTCCTGCGCATGATGTTGCCGTAGGCCGCCGGCTTCTTGTCTTTGGCCAAACTCAAGGACCTGTCCCCGTTTGATGTGCACGTCTTCGGAACTGGATGACCACCAACAGCTAACACAGGTCATGCCAATGTACATTGACCATATGCTGAGACTGGGGCGCAGCCATGGTACCTTAAATCTGGCTGGAAACACTAACATTTCAGACAAACACCGTACCCAAATGCAAAACGTTGCTCACAGAAAACAAAAGGAAAATCACTCTGAGAAAATCTGACCATCGCCAAATCAAGTCAAAGCCATCCCCAACCAAAACCATGGTCATTGCCATATCAAACGATGTGGCCATCCCCAACGCCACGCTGCTGCCAAAACTCCAACACTACACGGTCCGTGTCCGAAACCCTCAACCGCTACCTTGAGCCCAAGGTGGCCACCTCAAGTGAGAGAGTTTTCGATGCATCCAACCGGTTGGAAATCGCCAAACAGCGAAGAAATCGCCAATGCCACACCTGTTGCCTGTGATGTTGTCTCTTTGGCCTAGTTCATCCTGCATCAAGTCGTTCAACTGAGCATCACCGTGCCCTAGTGTGTGTCACTAGGCTCCACAGCTTATAAGACTCATGTGCGCATTTCAACATCTTGTTCACCTTTTCTCTCTGTAACCCTTTGATTCCTCAAGTGCACTTGAGGCCCACTGAAACTTGCAGCATTCAGCTGCCAAACGTCTTTCTCTACTCATACTTTCCATTCAGTACCAAAAGCCCCTCTCACCATGGTTTGAACCCTCGACGCCATGGGAAGGTGCAAGCTGTACAGCACCAGAATGCTGATGTGCCATGGTCGACAATTGTTGATTTGTCCACCCAGGTCCACTTTCTGAATTCGGAAGCCATGCATGAGCGGCCGCTGGCCGCCATCTTCCGGCCGCTGTTCGAATCATACCTGTCCCGTTGGCCTCGAAGCAAAGGGACAACTAGAGGCTTTCCGAACAAATCCCTCTTGGAAAAGAATCCATTGCATAGTTTGTCAATCTGGAACAGTTTCAATAAACCCTACAGACTCTAAAGACCAAGAAAGACTCAAAAAGTGTACTAGCTTCAGCCCTAAAATGATGGTGAGGTGAGCCCGTAATTTTGTGTGAGGTGAGCCCGTAATTGTGAGCTTATATATTCTTGTCGTCTCCCATCTATCCACATTGTAGTAAATATATAGAAACGCCCTCTAAAAGCAGGCATTGACACTCGGCCATGGGACCACCTGCTTCGGCTGCACCTGTTGCTGCGTCCATGCCAAACTGTCACTTGCGAATGGCGACAATGGTGTGCTCACACTCCGCATCCCCTGCGCTGCATCACTTGGAGGAGACTGAAGAACCTTCGAGAAGTCCGGGAAGGAGGAAGCCAATGTTTGCACCACCATTGCTCCCTGCTTGGCTCTGGCCAATGCCAATGTGGCTTCATGTCGACCTTCCAGCTTCTGGCGTTTGGATCGAGCCGTGTTAGCTCCTTTGGCGCCCACCGCGGGCGCCGCGCCGCTCGCGGCCGGTCGTGCGCCGGTGGTCACGGGCGGCGCGGGGTTGGCTTGGGCCCGACGGACATCGAAGATGCGAACATCGCCGAGGATCTCCATGACGTCAAAGCCGACCAAATCTTCGTGGATGAGGTGCACCGCCAGGCCTTTGTGACCTGGCAAAGATTGCTCGCATTTCTGAATGTGTCATTCTTTTATAAACACGGTGACACAGTATCAAGAAGTCGATCCTCCATTCTTTCTTAGGGCCCACCTTGTAAATTCAGCAAAAGGCCATCTTGCGGATTCTGTGCTGGAAAACGTCTGTGTAGTAGCAGCTGCCCACTTGGAGCGGCAAAGGCAATACAGCGGACAAAGCCAGTGCCAATCTGCGACCCATTGCCTGCTGAGCTGTTGCAAACATTTCCTCTGACTTACCCTATCATCCTCACTTCTTGATCCAAACATGCTCCAACAAAATGGAGGGTAACTAGATAAATATGTAATATGTGCATTACATTTATTATATATTGGCATCCGACACGTTGCGTTGCAAGCCCCAAAGATGCTATGATTGAGCCGAAGATGTTTCGACAGCCCTCCTTGTTCGAGTCTTTGAACGTCAAAGTGTATGGACACGCCGCCATCGGCTCTAGGGCACAAGCGCAATTTGATGCCTGGAACCGCGCGGACCTTGCTTTGGAGCGCACTTGCCCCTGCTTTGCGCTTCAAGGCAGCTTCGATGGCTCCGGGAAAGGCAGCACCGAAGGATTCGAGCGAGGAAAGTCCAGCATGCTTCAGAGCCTGTGCGCCCACATCCCCAATGTTTGGAAGCTGCCGCACAAGCATGGTCGACGTCTCCCAGATTTGTTTCCTCAAGCCTCAGGTGTCAACACTCAAAGTTTGGTAGCAAAGGTTTGGGTTGACATCAGTGGCAAAGACAAGCACTGTGTCAAAGCAATGCCACAAAGCCTCAACAAAGCATTACTAAGCATGAGGCAGTTTCTCATTGACAAGCAAGCCACAAGAGCTTGTCCTGGAGCCGCGGAAACAGCGTACAAAACAGCGCACACGTTTCCATGCACGGACCGTCTTGCAACAACCTCCTGGAACCTCGGCGGGGCTAGAGGACGAGCCATGCTTCATCAAACAACTGTGTTTGGTCCTTTGGGTATGACCGTGCAAGAACAAACACGACACATCACAAACTGAGGGGTTGGCACAGGATTGGCACATAACAAACTCTCCTTCAAGTATCAGTCACTCCAGGCCTTCTTGACGTGATTCGAACAGCTCTGAAACCACTCGCAAGAGAGGTTCGGCACGACGTAGGACCTAGGAAACCCGGCCAGTGGCACGTTGGTTACGGAGGTCACCGGCCAGCAGTTGCAGGGAGTAAAAGGGGATGATCATCCCCACTTTCACAAATGGATACATCTACAATGAACTGAGCAAGGTTAAGCTGCCAAAATGATTGACAACAATCAAACCAATGCAGCCTTCTTGGGCTCTTGAGCCCAACAGAAACACGCCGATGGGTTCTGAAAGAATACCACATCCTCTGCAACATGGCGCTTGCTCCCTCCGCTTCGTTTGCTGAAGGAATTTAGTATTTACAGTACATGAAATTACTTGGGGCCCTTCATTCTTCAGGTCTTGAACGCACAAAATGTCCAGCCTGGCTCTGCTGCAGTTTCAAGTCCCAGGGCAGCTCTGGGCGGGGTGAGTCAGCCAGCGCCAGCATCACCAGGACCAGGACCTGTCGATCAAAGCGCGTGATGTGGAGCAATTGAAACTGGATGTGGATAAGAGAAAAGAACAGCTGAACTAAAATGGGAGAATCCGATGAAGGACGATTTCTGTCTTCATGCCTGTTTACGGGGTGACCTGGAAAATTGACCATGTTATCGGGACATAATCGGGATCATCGTGGAAAACGTCTGAAGAACTTCTCTGGTGGGCCAAACCATGTGGGAACAAGGGACTATGCTGGTTTATCATGTAAAGTGTAAAGCATGCTGCCCATCCTTGTGAACCAGTGAACCAGAACTGCTCTGTGACGCAGTACGCTCCTGAGTCCAACCCCGATGTCCATGGTGGCTTTACATGGCGTTCACCATGAACAGCAGAAGAAGATTGGACCCTGGCTAGTACCCTGTAAGGGCACATACACACAGGAACAACAAAAAACATCAACAGGTGCGCAACATGCGAGTTGAACATGTTGAACAAAACACCTCAAGCCTGGCAAACATTGTTAAGATCAAATGCAGAAATACTGTACTTCGAGTGACCCCCGCCATGGCATTATACTGGTGAAAACCGATGGTTTCCGTCAACATCACCAAGAAAATGTATTCCTTGCATATCCTGGTTCCGTCCGGCATATATTTTTGGCTATTTTTGGCGTTCTATTCTATGTGGTATCTATTGCGGCATTCTATCTGGCTCTTTGGCATACTTTCTGACATTCTTTCTGGCATTCATTCTGACATTCTTTCTGGTTTATGTTCTCGCATTCTGATCATTCTATATATCTTTGGAATATGTTATATTAGACATTCCAATTGGAATGTGTTATATGACATTCTATCTACTTGAGCGGGGAAACACGAAAGGTAGAGACGGACCGAGTAGCTGTCGGGACCTTTTCTGGTGAGGGACTGTCTCCGGTGTTTCAGGATCGTGCCCCTTGGTCAATCATGGATGAAACCAACAAAGCCAGAGCGCACAAGAAGGCATAAGAAGGCTCAAGAGGAACTCCGTTGCGGTCAGATTGCGCCACACGGCTCTGCAGAGAGGCTGCATTGCGTCGACGCTCGTTTGTGTCTAGGTGTGTGAAAACAGGCGCGCGTAAAAGTCGCAATGCGTAAACGCTCGCATGTGTACCAGCTACGGTCCCACAGCTGCACGCACTGTGTCAGGATTACAGGCCTGCACGCGTTGCGTCGAAGCCGCAGTGACTCAGTGACCAACCCCCTTGTAAGGATAGTGCTGGAGGGGTGCGGCCGGTACTGCCAGGGATGGACGTCACGCTATGGTGGGTGTGCTCCACGATGGGTAAGATTTCGCCACCCTAGGGTATAAGGCTGAGTCGAATGGTGTTCCGCGACGCGAGGGGTTTCTCCACAGGGCTTTGCAGAGAGGCTGTGTTGCATCGATGCTCGTTGGTGTCGAGCAATATGGTCTGTGAACGCAGTACGCGCTGTGTCAGGCTGCCGGGTGCGCACGCGCGGCATCGAAGCTGCATTGCGCGACCTCATTGCGCAGGGTTCGTGCTGTATTGCGCAACCTCATGGCCAGCGTCGTACTGCTGTGACTGTTAAGCGCATGACTTCACCTTATGTCCAGAATTTAGTAGTGCTGGCGACGAGGGGAGGGGACGGAGGGGAGTGGAGGGGAGGGGTGAAAGAGTGACTAGGGCGTACACGGTAGAGGTGCAGACCGCTAGTGTCTTTTGCTCACGCAGAGTCTTATCCTCTATTGGTCCATTAACCCTCTCTTTGAGCCTTGAAGCAGTCAAGCATGGACACACTAGATCAGCTGTTGGAGTGGAACCCTGTACAGGTAGGCTCTACTTTTCAGCAGGCACAAGATTCATGTCCACTTCTAGCTGATTGCGTATGTCGCATACTCTTTTTCTACTGCAAGGCTAAAACAGTCCAGCTAGCTCTGACAACTTAAAAGAAAACTACGGTGCCATGTACTTACCTAATCCGGTGTGTTTCACACTTCAGAGAAGGTAATCTCATAGCTACTAATACAGTGAGGGAGCAATAGCTGACTCACCTCAAGTACAAAATCAAAGCGATAATGTACCTCGGCTGGAGACTGTACTTTTCGCAGGCGGAGATACCATGTACCGGCGCTCACTAGCTCTTTAGGGCCTGAGCTAAATCAAACTAAAAAGGGAAAGCGGCTTTTTCTCTACAGAGACCTATAAAAGAATCACACGACACTCGCGTAACAAAGAACTAAAAATTCAAGACCGCACAATGCAATGAATTAAGATGCCTTGCAAAATGCAAGGAGCGTACGGTCCGAGGAATAATCTTCTCGTGACGTGGTCTCGACCGCTTTCATTCACAGACAAAATAAACTGCATCAAAAGGACTCTCTTTCACATTCACATCAAAAACACAAGAAGGAGATACCGGCACATGTATGTACAAAAAAAATCTTGCACTACAATTGCAAATCATGAAATGACTTAATCATCAACCATGACTGGTTGTCCATTAGAGGTCACTTCATAAGAGCGATGATGATAGATATCATCAGTTATGTAAAACTGTCCATACCTATCTACATGCTAAAGCATATAAACCTGGAATGCAGGAGTATCTTCTTTGACAAAAAGTTTCTCCTGGTTGCAAACCAGAGTTCATTAGAACTTCAGCCTGGCAACTTAAAGTCAAGCCTGGAAGCAAAGTATCAACTGTAACCAGAAGTATCTTCACTTCCTAGCCATCATTTAAATTTCAGCCTTCGCTCAGGAATTATGCCGCTGCAGACGATGAAGCTGCTTGATCAGAAGTTGGCGGCCTTCCTTTCTTTCTATTCTGCTTTTGTCTCTCCTTCCTCCGCACGTTCGCCTCTTGAAGCGTTGCTCCCATGCGATACTGTCTTCTGTCTCCAGATGAAAGGGAAGCTGGTCTGAGTGAAATAAACATTGGACCATGACTGTCCTCGTCAGTGGGCCTTGAGCACATAACCTCTGTGTCAATCATAGCAAAGTTCTCTGAAAAATTACAGATGAACTCCTTCGTGCTCACTGTGGAATTTTCATATTCCTCTACACTCATTGAATGACCCCATTCAACAATGGTAGACAAGCATGTATCGCCAAGCTGTGATCCTTGGTATTCTTCTTTTTCAATAGTAGAATATTCTTCCCAGAGTTTGTCAAAGTAAACTTCACACTTCTTGAGGACCTGTGAAGTTGAACTGTAAAATGTTCTGGGAATAGGTGCTTTGATACCAGGATCTGCTTTTACACGAGCTTCTGAAAACCTGCGGATCCAATGCTGCATGGTGCTGTAATAGTAGTTAGCCATTGGCTGCCTTTTGTACCCAGACATTCTGTAGGCCAAACTATTTGCATCACCAGAAATGATGTCCACCTCATAGACAAAACACTCGTAAAGCATCAATGCTGTCTGTTCTCCTGTCAGTAGGTGGGCATCCACAGCACGGTGTGTATCAACATGATAATTACAGACTCTGATGGTATGCATGTTTGCTCGAGTAAGTGGAACACGCTTGTCCTCAGGACCATAGTCATCAAATTCAAAGTCTGCATCCTTGAAATCTTGACGAGGCCTTGTTTCTCCAAAACAAATCTCGTAGATAGCCCAAGTTACATCACGCTGTTCACAGTGACCAAGATCTTGGTCATGTCCAGCAATGATCTTGACATATCCACCTGGTGCCAATCTAGCCATCACTGCAAGATTCTCCCAATCATTGAAACAAACTGTCCAAGTCTTTTGCTCAATAAATTCCTTGGCAGGAACAAGAAGATGAGCTTCCTGGAGAATCACGACATGTGCACGTAAAAAGAAGAGCATGTTGAAGAAAAGGTTGTTCTCAAATTGCTCATTCTGAAGTGACATGGCACTCTGCTTGCGTGGCTTCATTGCACCATCAAGTCCTTGGAGAAACCTTGGTGTGGTGTACTTCTGACCACGAACCATGTTACCATAGTTCCAGGATAAGAATGTCAAGGACTCTGAGCTGGCCAATAAGTTAGTTCCATATGGTTCTTCTATTCTTCCTTTGAGGAACCTTCTGCACAGCTCTTCATAGAAGGTGACAAAGTCCCAACTGGGTCCCTTGGGACCATATGATTCCAGTTCCTTCTTGAGTTCCTTCTTCGTATCCTCCAATTCTTCTCGAGCATGATCTGCCCTCTCAAGGGCCTTTGGATCGACCTGATACCTGCCATCCAAATAAATGATGCGGTCATCATTGATGAAGAATCTCTTCAAATCATGCCCTCGTTCATGTTCATAACAATCAGGTGGAGGTACTGGACAGACATTTCGAATGGATCGAACAAAATCATTCTCGTTGATCCTTGACTGATAATGAGGATGGGAAATCTCACCTTTTCTGAAACAAACATGATTCAGCAATCTTGCATGAGTTTCCCTGAAGCATAGTTGATAAAAGCCAATACCTGGATCTCCTGTAAGCTCTCCAAGCAACTTTAAAGGTGAAGTGTGCAACTCATAGGTATTGTCAACTTTTGTTGTATCCTTTTCAACAACTACTTCAGATGGAAAAGATTCTTGGATTTCTGCCTCCAATTTCTTCTCTTCATCATCCTCTCTGACCTCTTTTATTTTCTCCACCGCCTCTTTCTTCTCTTCCATGGTTGCATCATCCTGAACTTCTTCTTGAAAATGAGGATCAGGAATTTTATTCAGGCGGCTTTTCTTAGATTTCCGATGACCTGAAGTATCATCAAGGTTAGCATCCATCTCACCTGATGGTAAGTGCGATGCAGTCGAGTCCTCACCTTTCTCTCTTGACAGAAAGTGTGGTGTTGACTCTTCCTTGGCTTCCTCCTGGTCAACTTCCATCTTTGGTTCCTCTGAAGGAAAAACACCTGCATCTTTATTAAATATTTCTTGTTCCTTTCCAGGTTCAACTGCAGGATCTTCTTCTGCAACATCCTTGGTGAGCAAGTCCTCTACAAGATTTTCTCCCTTGGTTCTTGGAAGAGGTCCTGAGGTCTCATAAAAATCTGTCCTC